CAGTCATCCACCCATTCACACACTGGTGATGGCAAGCTACATTGTAGCCACAGCCACCCTGGGGCGCACTGACAGAGACGAGGCTGCCGGACACTGGCGCCACCAGGCCCTCTGACCACCACCAGTAGGCAACGGGTCAAGTGTCTTGCCCAAGGACACAACGACCGAGACTGTCCAAGCCAGGGCTCAAACCGGCAACCTTCCGATTACAAGGCGAACTCCCAACTCTTGAGCCACGATTGCCCCAAGTTAAAAAGAGGTCCGTAAAGAGGTCAAAGAGCCGCTCTCCACCGTTTTAAAGCTGGAGCCAAGCGCAGTTGTGGGATGACTCTGTGAAGAATGGTAGACAGTTGCCGCTGATATTTTAGTTAGGACTACATTTCTTAATCAGCTCACAGAAACAACAGCGGATAAGAAGAAGTACGACTGTTACAGTGACTTTCAGTCTTTTCCCAGCTCAGCTCTGGTTTGGGGCCCTTTTCTTTTTCGCATCGTTTTCTTACCCTGCTTGTGTGATTGCCTGTCTCCTCATGGCCCACTGCCCAGCCACCACTGGGTAGCATTCCTCACCCTGAGCCAACTGGAAGAAAGGGGTCGAAGGGGGGGAGAGGAGAAGGACAAATCCAAGGAATGAGGGGAAGAACCACAGTAGGTCTTCTACTACGTTATATATCTGTGACCTCGCTGGAGAGGCGAGGAGCAATTTTTTCTGCTCTTTCCAGAGTTTTCACAGCGCCCACAGGTCATAAACCTTCCTCTTCAGCTCTTCTGTTTATAGTCACATCCACTCAGTCTCAGACAGCTGCTCACTCATTACAACACTCTCACTCATGCCACAAGAAACCCTCACAGTTTGACCATGCAGGGATCTACTAAAATACACATAGCATGCAAGGACCCATAGGGTTACTTTCTTTTTTTTCACAGTAGGGAATGAAATGCCATATCTTGAAGGTAACTTATGATGCCTGTGCTGCTGCTGAGGTGCAAAAATAAAGGATTTGCTGAGAAAGCAGACTGGACTCCACCCTGCCCTTCAGCTCTTATTTCTTCTGTGTGTGTGTTTGTGTGAGTTCTAAAACTTGTAGGAACTTGTGTGCACGGCAGTACAGAGGATTTTGTGTGTGTGTGTAGTGTGTGTATGTGTGTGGCAAGTTCTTTGGGAACTACTGGCAGATGGAGTAAGACTGTGGGCATAGAGAGATGGATAGAGAGCTTGGCACAGCCTGCAACCCAAGCCACACTGCAACAGAAGAGCCACGCATACAGTCCTCTCGCTTTCATTTCTCTCTCCCAGTGTTTTCACTGTACTGGTATTCCTCAGCGTGGATCGCCTTCTGTCTCGGCACACTGCAGTCAATGCATTCCTTCCTGTGATCCCACTGAAACCCCTTTTTAAAGTAATAAAAATCACACACTGAAGAAAACACAAAACAATCCAAGCCCTTGCAGCTAAAGTGTGTGAAATAAAATACTGTGACTGCAATACTCAAAAGAATCTAATAGGACTTAATATCTCGATTCCTATGATAAGTCAGGACTCTTTGTTGTAGACAGTGAGAATAGAGTACCATCACCACAGAATCTGAAGTCTGGAGGTTTGTGGCGTCCCCAGACAGACCATAGACCCTGTGTCATTTGCATCCCATAGTTATTTTCTTTATTTTAAATCCAGATGCAATTGATGCTTTGATGCAGTTGCTCATGGAAAGTAGTACCTCTTTAAAGGAAGACATTGTGCCAGTTTGCTGGTCTGTAGGATTCAGATGTGTTTCTCTCTGAGACGAACATGGCAGCATAGCTTAGGTTTCCACAATGTTCTTTATATAGATGAGACCAAAATGGATATATTTGGCCTTAATGCATGAAAACTCAACACAGCTGCAACTGTCTACCATAAACACTTCATGCCAACTGTCAAGCACGGTGGTGAAGAGGTGATAATTTGGACTTTGCAGCTACAGGACCTGAGCACCTTGCATTCACTGAACCAACCATGATCTCCTCCTAGAGTCAAATGTGAAGGTAATGTCCCAAAGAGTCAAGTTGTTGCCATGGCCGAGTGAAAGCCCAGAGCATAACCTGACTGAAATGCTGTGGAGTTACCTTATGAGAGGTGTGTTTAACCGAATCTCCACCAAACACAATGAACTTCTCAAGAAGAACAGACTAAAATTCTTCCACAACAATGTGAAACTGATAAATGTGACACAGAAAACTATCACAAGCTTCAACTTTCAACTTATTGATGCTAAAGGTTGTTCTACTGCAAGCTATGAAATCAATGTGTAAATTGCATAGTACCTTGGTATATTATGTAATCATTATTATGACATTTGTCATATTCTTGAACCTTTTTAAATCAGTAGCATAAATTTTACTGGATTGGTTTTATGACATGAAAGTTGCCCCCAAACCCATGCACCTGGGCGAAAGGAGCTATCCACTGAGGGAGCTTGGTTTTACAGAGCATATCCAATGCCTGCTGGGTAAATTTAAGGAGAATAAAATAACGGAGCAAATGCAAAAAAGGCACAAGATTTCCATTTGTGGGTTAGCAAGTACAGAACAAAAATCAAAGAAAGGAAACCTTCCTCAGATTATCTGCAGGTATACGAACCTGAAGAAGTCTTTTTTTTTTTTAAATCCACCACAAAATATAACATAGAAAATTCATGCAAAGTATTCTGCGTACATGCTGCTGCTCCACTGATTTTCCCTCCGAGTCACTGATGTCTAACACGAAAACAATGTCTTCATTGTAACTGTTTGACACTTCTTTCCAACTTTACTTTGGCAAGCTGATGAAAACTTAGTCCAGGGAGAGCTCTTCAATTGGCTTTTCAGAAGCACTTACATATGATTTGGGAAAGATACTGAGAGAAACAAAAATATCTGGTAGTCTTTAAAAAGTTGTATAATTAGATCAGTGGCTTTAGGCTGCAGTGGAAAATATTTGCAGCACAGTGTAATGACAGACAAAGAGGAGAAGGAACGGCTGGACCAGCACTCATAAAACACAGGCGCACAGTAAGCCAGAACTGAACGCAACCACACAGCTTAAGATAATTAGATAATGGAAAGGCACTTAATGGTCCTATCAGTGTTTTCCTTCTCACACCTCCTCCATAAAATGATTAATTTAGAATTCAGGAATGTATGTTCACTGTTTAGTCTTCAGCCTCTCCGGATTGTAACCCCTGACCCAACCAGATCACTAGAACGCCTCTGAAAACCATCAAGCATCTGCTTATCTAAACTATCCCTCGCCAAGGGACGCTCTCCTCATCATTCAATCTCCTTCCATCCTTAACCAGAACTCCACTAACAGGAGACTTCTTTTTCACCCGTGCAGACTCTAACAGGCCGGACAGGCATTTCCTCTGGGTGGGACCTGAGAGCAGAGACATTCTTGAGCCAGGCACCTCCACTTCCTGTCTCTGTTAACGCTGCTCTGAAAGACAAACTGTCTGGACCTGTGCTTATTTTACACTTTATTTGAGGCGGTTAAATAGAGCACAAAAGCAGATTGGCTTTAAATTGCAATATCACTGATGTTGAACGTAAACAAGAGTGAGACGTGCAAGCTCACAGTCGTAGAGAACGTGGAGAGAGCACAACATTGCTGTGAACACAACTAAATGATGCGAGACAGAAAACTGCAAACCATAAGATAACGATGCAATGCTGGAACATGAAAGCTAAATGAAGAATTTGAACCAATACATTTTTATGATTTCATTCATGAGGTTTAAAGTCAGCTATCACATTCCCCATCCTTCTCATTACTACTGTATCCCATTCCACTTTACCTCCCGCAGGCAAACTTCCATATCATATCTTTTATCTGAAATTCAAATTTCAGCTGTGGGAAAAAGTTAAGATAGACAATGAGACACTCAACTTCATGATCAAACTTGCATCTGGTATTGTTTGCACTATTTTAAGTGTAATGAGTCACAGCACAGCCATGGAGCCAAGAGATATCATTAGATCCTATCCCCCAGTCTGTTTACTCTCTCATGCTCCCCCCCACCCAGCTTAGATAGAAAGCTGTTGTAAATTTCTAAGCCTTCACTGCTTGCAAATGTTTTCCTTTGCGTGTGTGTGTGTGCATGCACACCACAGGGTGTTAAATAGAGTAGGTGCGAAAAAATTAACTAATGACCTCCTATGGCTCAACAGCTGCTCCAGAGTGTTGCTATTTGAGAGCTGGAGGCATTCAGAGAAGGAAGACGGGGGTTCTTTGTGGTTGCGAGTGTGGTGTGTTTGTGACAGCTGTCAAGTAAATGTAATTATTTATCCCTTCTTTACAAATGGCGATGGAATATAATTTGTAATGTGATATGAGCAGTTTTTAAAACTCCAGTCATTGGCCCCATTTCAAAAATGGCCGATTGTCATGTGTTAGGGTCTGTAATAGTTGCATACAGAATTTGACTGGTAAATCTGGAGCAGGTCCCATTGATGAGGCACTGAGTTAAAGCAAACAGAATTGAACGTTGTAGGAAAATAAAACCGCTTTCTAATTTTGTCATGCAGGCCTGCATCTAAAAGAAAATTGAGTAATATATGACAGATTAAAAAGTATAGAACTTACAGCAATTTAGTCATAGTAACAAAATGTAATTAGTATTTAACAAAATTGTTGCTTGAAACTTCAGTGAGGTATACGTATCATTCTATCTGTATGCCTGTGTTTGTGTTGCCATTGGAAATATGTCATCCAAAAAGGTTTATTTACCTTTTGATCAATAATTTGTTTCCTCCGTTTAATTCAGTTTGTTTCACTTATCAGCAATTTTTTAAATTCTTTTTGCGTAAAGTTAAAAACAAACCTCTTGTGTACTATAAAAACAATATAAATGTGCAAACCATTTCCTCACACTTATTCTACCCGCACCCTTTGAAACCAAAGTCTCGTTAGGTTTGGGTTACATTTGTGTGTTTCTGCTGCCCCCTAAAGGCTCACTCGGAACAAGACTCCTCCCCACGCCATATTAAAAACTTCCAACATCACCTTTATTTAACTCGCATTCAAAGACGAAGTTTGTAATTTGGAGAAACTGTTCATGTGGTGAACGACTAATAATATGACCGTGTTTAGAGATAACACAACAGGTCACTCCTCCACTTTGGTACTAGACAAAAAACAACTCTTCTCTTCACAGCTAACAGTGCGTTTGCAGAGTTCAGTTTATCAGTGCCGACTCATCAGTAGTGCTTTTCTCACTTTTTCTCACACAGGGAATGGAGAAGATCAATCTGCTCAGCGTATTCAAATCCAGGCCTGTGGGGAAGAACATAGCAGCCATGTTAAAGAGGAACCTGAAAAAAGGATGAGCAGCTCCTGTTTTGGAAATGAATAAAATACATTACCATATACAACAAACAAACCCACAGTTTCTACAACCATCTCACCGTCCGGGTGTCTCCAGGATCAGAGGGACGTTGTCCAGCCTGGGCTCATTGACAATTTCTTGAAAGGCAGAGATTCCAATGTGACCTTTACCGATATCTTCATGCCGATCCAGGTTACAGCCAAGTTTACCTTCAGGTTACACAGAAAGAATAAGGAAAGACAACTAGAGACTTGCATGTGTGATTTTTCTGTCTCTATGCCCTGGCTATACCTTTGGAGTCATTAAGATGAATGGCCTTGAGGTAGTGGAGCCCCACTTCTTGGTCAAACTCATCCAGCATGGCCTTCACGCCTCCCTCTGCAGCAAGGTCGTATCCTCCCAAGACGAGACATAAAACAACAATTGAGCACAGAAAGAAACTCTCAGGTCTTATGCCAGGTTGAATATTTTAAGGTATCACAGCCCTGTTGGACAGAAAACAAATTTGAGGTTAACAGGCTGCTATCAGGTTTCACTCACCTGCTGCAAATGCATGGCAGGTATCCAGACATACTCCTACTCTGGTCTGGTCTCGCACTCTGTCTATGATGCTCTTTAGCTCACAAAACTTGCCGCCCACCGTACTGCCTTGGCCACTCATGTTCTCTAACACTGACCACACAGAAAGCCCGGAGAGCGAGAGACAAAGAAAGAATAAAAAAGGTTTTTAATATGACACACTCATACATTTGTAATATTTCTCTGTCGTTATCTCTTCAAACAGAGTCTGAACGCAGCTTTTGCTGTTGTATTCTGCTGTACGGTTTACCCCAGGTGTCAACAAGTAAAAGGCCCAGGTACACTCTTGGTTGCGTCCATCACGCCACACAATGTGCTACCTATGCTCACATCTAAACCTATCAAACGCAGAACAGCTAACATGAAATCATACCTTTGTACTGTGGGAGAAAGTTGGAGAGCGAGAGCACCCAGTCAATCAGCAGGGTCGAACCCCAGACTTTCTTGATGGGAGGTGACAGCTCCAACCACTGAAAGTTGCACTGGCATTTATGTCAAACTTTCGTTAACATTAAAATGTCAGGCAAAGTTCAAATGGCTTTGTATTTAACAGACGTGCCATGCAAACATCATTCCTGTTGATAGGCATCAAAATCCAGTCATCAGGCACTTCATTAGATATGCATCTAATTAGTCACATGGCAGCAACTCAATGCAGGGAGAATTAAAAAAAATTTAAGTGACCTGGAATGTCGCATGGTTGGGCTGGTCTAAATATTATAGAAACTGATGATTTTCTAGGATTTTCCCACTTCTATCGTTTACAGAGAACCATCCAAAAAAGAAAAAAAAAATATCAATTGGGTGGCAATTCCTTGTTGATGCCAGAAGTCAGAGGAAAATGGTAAGACTGCTCTGAGATGATAGACATGCAAAGGTAATTTAAATAACCACTTGTTACAACCATGATATGCAGAAGAGCACAAACACAAAACACATCAAATCTTGAAGTAGATGGGCTACAACAGCAGAAGACCAGAATGGGTCCCACTCTGAGCTAAGAGTAGAAAACTGAGGATACGGTTAAAATCAGCTCACCAAAACTACACAACAGGAGAGTGGAGAAACATTACTTGGTCTGATGAGTTTGGATGGTAGGGTCTGAATTTTCTTTATTGTTGGTACTGTACTCAAATGGTATTAAGGCAGTTCTAAAGGCAAAAGTGGGTCCAGCCCCACAGTAGCATGGATTATCTAATAAAGGTTTTACTGAGTGTATAGAATAACTATATATAAAGAGATTTAGTCCACTAACAGAAAGCTTAACAACATGAAGTTATATTTTGTGTAGGGATTCTTTGGATTCTTGTGTTAGAAAAACTCCGACCTGACTCTACTACCTCTATGCTACAAGCGCCGCCACAAACAGTCCTCTGGGTGATCACGTTTTTGTAGGCTTTGCTGGTGTGGAATGTGCTGCCTCCACTCTAAAGGTTTGCAGATTCAGTAGATTCCTTTTAAAAAGTCTGCAAAAGGCATATCTGTTTAGTCAAGCCTTTCGGTAATATGTATTCACCAGAGACCAGATGTATAACTGGAGTGTACACAAAAACGTACATACGCCTTTCCCTGCCCACCCACACAGGCTTGATGGAGCACTTTTGTGTATTAAGGCATAAATCACTGAGTTTTTGACAACTGGTTCTTTGCTACATTGTTTATCTCCCTTTTGTACTTTGGCTTAAAAACTCATCTTTTAGAAACGGGGAGGATAGGACATTTAGTAAGATTGACATGCACTGCTAATTGGTTTACAGTATGCCAGAGCAGCTACTGACCTTTACGGCAATGATTTATAGTCCTCTGCTGGACAGCACAGGATTTAGAACCAAATACAATAAAGAAGTGCTTTATGACATATGGTTTATAAAAGATGGATACAATCACTATGGCGTCATTAATTAGTAAAGTCTTGTTATGAAACCTCTGGCTGAGCTTTGTTGCTATGCTATTGGGTTCTTTCTGTTTTGAAAACCAGGTGAGCAAGTTCATACGGTAGTTACTTGCCACAGGCCCACACTAAGGTCTACCCAATTTTGTGCTCCTTCATATGCATTTTCTATAATATGAACTTCATGCTGTATTTAAATAAGACTTCAAACCAGCTATAAACCCACTGGTATAGTGCCTGCTGAGGTCAGAGATCAGAGTCAGATCCAGAAAAAGCTGGGAAAAACAGGATTTGTTTTGGTTCTTAGCCATGTGGGGCCATTCAGGTTTCACTGACAATTATGGCTAATACTTTTCTTTAGCCTGATCAGTGCTCTGTACAGTGGCAGTACAGATTAAACATTTATATAGTTTTATTGCTTTTTATGTTCAGTGCCGCCATCTTGGATTGCTAACTCAGGGCATGTTGGTCTGCTTCAATTTTCCAAGTGGGAAATCAGAGCTGAAGGGGCGTTCCACAAAAAAGTTTCGACTGGGAACTTGGAATTTTCAGTTGTCTTATTCGTGAAACCACAATTTCTGCAACCAGAGTTGCTGCCCCCTGTTGGTTATTAGAAAGAATGCACTGGCTTCACTTTTCAGACTGGGAACCTATGTCCATCTTTTAGATGGAGTCTATGAGTTTTATTATTACCTCTGGCAGTGTCTCTGCATATGGGTTTCATCAAAAAGGCAATGACTACAAGGTAGATACACACTGCTGGTTGTTTCAGGTGCTCTGGCGGCCCTCTGTACCTGTAACCACTGATGGTGTTTGCTGGTGAGCATAATTGATGGCGCTCGCAATCTTGTCCACACACTGCTCAGTGGTGATGGTACCCAGGGAGGAGCCGGGGTGGAAGTTATAGAGGCTGAGACCCAGGAGGTTGCAGCGGCTGAGCTCGTCCACCAGCATGGCCTGGCTCTTTTCAAACACATCTAGTTGAAAACATGGCATGCAGGTTAGACCAAAACGGAGAATAATTCTGCAAAGTATAATAAGAGATAACTAGGCATGAAAGGAATGGTAGACAATAATCAGTGTCTGACGGACCCTCTTTAGGAGATCCACAGTTCATCAGGTAGGAACCATGAGGCAAGATATGAGCTGGGTCAAACCCCTGTTGGGAACACAGCTCCTGAAACTTTGCTGCAGCTGTATGGTCCAATGCAGGCCTCTTCCACGATCGCTGGGAGCCCAGGAACAGGGCGAAACTGCTGCCGCCCATCTCTGTACAGGACTCCACGGCTTTCCATATCCCACCTGTGGACGTGACGTCACACAAGTGTAAGTAAGTGTGTTTATCTTAAAGGGTTCCAAGAAGACGACATTAGGCCCTACCTTGAATGCCAACATGAGTTCCAATGTACTTCTTAGTTGCGCGGATGTTCTTCCTGTGTCCTCTCTCCTCGGTGTCCTCGCCCTCCTTTACTCCTGCAGAGGCATCCTCGTTTTTCCTTTTCCTCGTTCCCCTTTTTCTCTGACTCATGCTATGAAGAGAAAGTTGTAAGCAGCCCTTACGAAATAAGCAATAAGTTGACTGTCAGAAGTTTATGGAGGTCAAATAGCCTGTTTTATGCATCCCTCCAGGCAGAAGCCAGCCAGTCAGAGGGCTTCCACGCAGCTGCTACAGGCTGGTCATTGGAGACGCTTCATGCTGAGCAGCAAAATGGCCGCCCGTCACCCGACTGACTCCACAGCGCTTTGAATTTAAATTCTTCTGCACATTAGGGTTTACACTATTATAACGGTAGTGCTCACGAACCAGTACGTTATTACGCGTGTATTTTCATTTTCTGACACTTTACTTGATTCTCCGCTCAGGCGTCGCTGTTCTTGTAGCCTCGACGAATGCCTCAAAAAGCTAGAAAAAAATCGCACTGAAGCACTTTAGCTAAGCTAGCTAGCACGCTAGCGTATCTTCATATGTGATTCCCGAGGTAAGTGGGTGAATTTTTTACTTTTCTCGGCGTTGCACTGGGATGTTGTTTGAATGCATGCGAGTGGGCTGCATCTTAATGGAATGCCATGCCACGGCGCTTGCAAACCAAGCTAGCGCCATTAACCTGGCTACTTGTAATTGCTGCTGTCACTGGATAATGCTACCTTAGCTTATCTGGCTAATGTTCGGTAGCATTAGCGCCGTTTTAGCTGTATTTTTGGCACTGCGTTAGCTGAGCTGGGTATTTGGCCCTCTTATGTGTTTGCTGTTCAAGAACGTTGTGTACACTTAATAGAGCAGTTACTGAACTTGCGTTGGTTTGAACTCGTTAATGTCTGCTGTGCACCGTGTCCACGTATTTTAGTCTGAACCCCTCCTTAACGTTAGCCTCGACGAAATATTTTATTAGCAGCAGCTGCTGAACTTGCCGCTTGTGTAAACCTGAAGGGGCGAGGATGAATGTGTCTGACTATTTCAGCTAAAGCGGATTTATTCACCCGTGTCTTCGGTTTTTGAATATGCCTTTCCATTTAAGCTCAAAACTCAAACCTTTTTGTGCTGTGGGGCTAGCTGCCGAATGCTGGTGAGCTTGGAATAACGTTGACAGGTATGTCACGCATAAGCTGCTGGATAAGGTTTACTATACTGCAGATCTGACAGATTGAAATAACATCGTGATGATGTCTGGCTTTCTGATACTTTTGGCCTGAGATCATAAATGCTTCAAGGACGATGACAAGTCGCTGTCCCCAAATGTAGGAATCCTGCTTTATGGAAGTGTTAACGACACGAAGCAAAAACGAAACCAACATAAGACCGAGGCAGCCGGAGCATACCAGATTGCTTGGGTTTTGCTTTAAACGAGCCCCTTTAAAGGAGAAAACTAACGACTTGTGTTTTAACGTGCTAACATGAACCCAGACATGCTAATGTTGCGGTTATTGCCATATTGTAATGCATACATGATTTACATTTTGCGCATTTACGGGCGCTTCCCTGGTTCCGCTCTAATAGAAATGAATGACATTTCTATCACCCTGTTAAATAAACAGTATAAACCATTCGTTTCTTTTAAAAATCGTAGTATAGCTCAGCTGTTCCATCTTCAAACTGAAAAATCTAACAATACCATGTTTAGCTTGTCCCTGACATCCATCCTGCTCTAGGGATCATAGAGGAGCTATGGGGAATCCTAATGACAATGCACTCTTTGCTGTAGCTGAAATCTGCTTTTTTTATTATTCTTATTTTATTTATTTAAAGCCAGTAAAGAGTATGATTCTGGGTTTGTAACTGCCAGCACACTGTCTCAAAAACAAATCTAGATTTCAAACTTTCAGTTTATCTGTTATGGGTTCCTGGATATGTAGGTCCAGTCAATCAAGCTTAACTGATTGGACCTACAGGACCTAAAGGTCCATTTATCCAATTGTCCAGTGGAAGTGTAGTGACAGAGATTGTGTCTGATATGGAGTTAGAATTAAATGTTTTCTTTTTTTTTTCCCTTGAATAAATTTGGTTTACAGGAAAAATCTAGAAAATATGAAAACAAACTGTTGCTTGTTCTAATATAGTTGATACAAAATTACAATTTTGAATAGCCTGCTATTTTTTCTACAGAAGAAAGGAGCATCAGGACAGGAGCAGTAGTTCATGGAAGACAAGAAAAGGAAAAAAGACGAAAAAAGGAAAAGGGAAGCCTCTCAGAAGGTGAGATTTCATGTCCTCTAGGACAGATATTCTCAAATTCAAATGAACGTTTGTATCTTGACACAGTATGCAGGCAGTAAAATATGTGCACATTCACCCATATCATTTAAAATGGCAGTTCTGCATGGATATATGTATGGTTCTATTAAAGTGACTTCAGTGTGCTCCCTTATCTCAGGTGGACACATTTGAACTGTCACATTAAGTCAGTGGGTTCAACAACAGCATTTAGTTTGGATTTTGAATTTTTGATCTTACATTATGCCATTTCAGATTTTTGGTATACACGTATATACAATTTAACTATGTTTGACAAGATACCTGATTCATGATCTTGGCTAATTTGGGCTTCCTGAAGCTATGGAGTTGCAGTCAACACTGCAGCTGTTGAACTTGTTGCAATGAAATCTCTTGTCCTTAAATGTCCTTAGATGTTACATTAATTTTGTGAGGACTAAATGTTGACAGATTATGTGAATAGTGAAAGACTAATAATATAAAAAAAAACCGTTTCCTTTCTTTGTCTGGCTCAAAAAGAAACAAAAAACAAACTAAATTTTAACACGACTTTCTGCTTCTCTTCATTTTAGGTTGCAGAGCAAAAAAACAAAGGTAAGCAGCACAGTGATGTATTTTTATGGAGTTTGATATAAATATTAGTTTGCTCCTAAATCTTTTTATGTCTAAAAAGATTGTGATGGCATCACAGTCACAGTAACATTATTTCTCTAGCTTAATAATGTGTTGGACAACACTTGATGCATTTTTTTAATTTTTAAACGAGAGCACATTCATCTGCATCAGCGATTTCTTTGTTTTATAGTCCAGTTTGTTATCCATTTCTGGCAAATGCTTGATTAGAGGTTACATTTGAAGTAAATAAAACTTGCATTCTTAAAATGCACCTGCTTAAACAAATATCTCTCTCACCTCCTTGCACTTCTTGTAGTGCCAGACTTGACTAAGCCGGCTTCTGCCCAGTCTTCTGCTACCCAGAGCAGCTCTGCCTCCCCCAGCCCTGGACCCACCCCCTCTGCCTCCCCATCTCCAGCCACCTCAGGCCCTGGCAGTGCTGCCACCCCATCACAGGGCGGCAACAATGCCAAGCGCCTGGCAGTGGCCAACGGACAGCCCACCTCCACCACCAGTTCTTCCTCCACCGCTGGCGGCTCCAGTGTTGCTGGAAACAGCAGTGCAAGTAGCGGAGGCGGAGCTCAGGCGCCTCAGCAGCCACCGCGCTACATGCCGAGAGAAGTGCCGCCACGATTCCGCTGCCAGCAGGACCATAAAGTGCTACTGAAGAGGGGTCAGCCGCCACTGTCCTCCATGCTGCTGGGAGGGGGGGTGGGAGGAGATGGCCCCAATGCAAACATGGCTGCTGTTTCAGGTAAGTGTTAACAATGCTGTTGGTCACAAGTATTAAAGCGGGTTTGTCAACTAATCACAGGGTGGTGTTTTTGGTGTAGAGTCTCCTGTCTGCTTGCTAAAGAGTAATTTGAAAAAGGAGTTCCTCACGATGGCAGGCAAGCATTGAAGGCCTGCAACCTGTGATGTGTTTGTGAAATAGAGGCTATTGTCACACATTAATTCTGGGAAATGTCAGGAAAATCAAGTTAATGCATAATCTAGATGGTTTTCTCACATAGCAGAAAACAGGAGATGGGTGATTAAACCAGTATTGTTTGTATTATTAGTCAAGGGTGCTACCTTGGCCATGTGTGAACAGAGCAGAGAAGATGTCTGCTTCCTCACTGTGAATTCTCAGAATTGTTTCCTGTCTGATGTGACTGACTCAAACATTTGGAGCAAATGTAAACATTTGAAGCTCCACCTGGTGTGTCTCTGCATGTTTGGAAACCGCTGTTGTAAAGCACTGTCTGATCCGCAAGCGTTACATAGCTCTGTCAAAGCACAGGTCATTTACTGCATTATTTAATGTTTTTTGTTCTTTTTTTTGTTTTGTTTTTTTAACTGATGAAGAGTCTAAAGTTGCTCTTTTGTGGGATTTACTTTTACAGATTCCGGCACAGCAGCCTCCTCATTGGCTCTCACCTCATCATCAGTTGCTGCTTCTACTACTACTTCTAATTATGCAAATTCCATGTGGGTGGCAAGCTCAGGCAGCCAGGCCTCCTCTCAGGGCAGGGAGAAGGTGATTGTTGATGGCAATGACCTAGAGGAGTGGCCTAGTATTGCTGGCAGTGATGGAGGGAGCAGCGGCAACAACGGAATGCCTGTGAATAGCATTAGTGCCTCTGGCAACCAATCCTCACCCACTTCCTCGTTCTCTTTGCCCAATGAATGTATGCAGTCGTCCAGCAGTTCAGCGTGGGTGACGGCTGCCTCCCAGGGTCATCTTGGAGGAGGTATTGCAGTAACTGCAGCTGGGCCTCTGCTACAACAGTCCTCCTCACTTTCCAAAGCCCCCGCTGTGCCAGGGAGCCATGATGCCAGTGGCTCCGTTGATGGCAGCAGTGGGATTCCAGGTGCCAACTTCAATCCAAATGCCAACCCTTCAGCCTGGCCTGCACTGGTGCAGCAGGATGGCCCCGCTGCTGTAGGTGAAGGAGGTCAGTCTTCCTTTCACCATCAGGGCCCTGGCGGGTCTGCCAACAACTCTGCTTCCCTAGGGGCAGCCGGTGTCCTGGGGGGTCACCCATCTTTATCTGTGAATCAATCAAACACCCATCAGCACCAACTTCACCAAATGCCATCCAGAGACAGAGAAATGGGTGGAGGGAATTGGGATAGTAAATCAGCGGGACCAAAAATTGCGGGGGGAGAAGGGATAGGGGGAGGAATGGACCATGGTGCGGGAGGAAGTGGGATGAGTGAAGAGCACAGCCTTGTCTCCTCA